CCCTGCTGATGTGTTATATTAATTAGTCATTCAAGTTGGATATTTGAGTTAGACGTTGAAGTTGAACATTTGGGTTATTCCATGGTTCTGTATTATACTTACTGTTATACTCATATAGATCTTTTAAGTTTATTCTTCTCTCATTTTCTTTCTTTTTTTTTGTAATAATTTTATTTATTTTTTTCCCCCCAAAGCCCCAGTAGATAGTTGTATGTCATAGCTGCACATCCTTCTAGTTGCTGTATGTGGGACGCGGCCTCAGCATGGCCTCAGAAGCAGTGCATCGGCATGCACCCGGGATCCGAACCCGGGCCGCCAGCAGCAGAGTGCGCGCACTTAACCGCTAAGCCACCGGGCCGGCCCCTCAAATTATTTTCTTAGGATAAATTAGGGGGTATAAACATTTTTCTGGCTCTTGAAACATATTACCATAGTGCTTTTCCAAAAGGCATAAACCAAAGTACAAGGCCACCAATTAATACATTAGCAGTGGGCATTAACTTTAAGTAACATTTTTAATTCAATTAAAAATTTACCCCAGGACAATTCCTCAATGATTTACAGACTTTGGAGGATCTGAGACTATCTTTCACTTACCATCTTGTCTGTTGTTCAAGAATTTTTCCTTTCCATAGTGTAAGATAGCTAAATCATGGAAGTTTACTAATGTCACAGTCATGAAATCACTTTATATATTTTTTAAATCCTTAAGTTCTGCTTAGACATTCTTAAATTACTATATGGAAAGGATTATAATTCCATTAAACAGAGAGAAGCTTAATTTAGAAGTAAACTACAAATTAGAGAGAGTTGATAAGGCAACCAAATTATATAAATGCCAAGAAAATACCTAATTGGTGGGTTCTGAAGTCAATTCCCTCATCATCCCCAAATTTTTGTTTTCTTAACTGGCTCCTTTCTGCTCATGAACATTGTAAAGGTCTCCTAGGTCCTAAAAAAAAAAACAAACCAACCCTCACTCAATCCTGTAGGCCCTTTAAAGCACCTTGGGACCTCTTTCTTTAACTGCCAAAAGTGTTAGAGTTTAACTTTTTCCTCAGTACCTTCCTCTGTGACATTGAAAAATATATTGTGAAGGTCCTCAATGTGTCCTTTAGCTATTAAATCCAACACTTTCTCCTTGGGCTCATAAACTGAGACCATTCTAAAACATTCATAACCACACCTCCTACCTTTGTGATCACTCTGTTTCCTACCATTCCCAAAGTCTGTCCTCAACAATACTTCTCTTCAAAACCTTTTTCCTCTAGGTATGTCAACTATTCATACATCATAATTGTAGATGGATCCCAAATCAGTTAACTCTAGCCTTTCCTCAAAGGACCAGATCTATATTTCTAACTTGATGGACTCTCTACTTTTAGATGCTCTGTGGGCAAATCCAATTAAATAAGTCAAAAGTCAATTCTGTCCATCTCCCCCACATTAATTCCTCCATCAGTCTACCCTTCTAATGGCACTGTTATTCTCACTCTCATTTAGGCTTGAGATCTTGTTTTTATCTCTGATGCCCTTGTTCTTTTCCTTTCTCTACACAAGTTTGTTAGACTCCACCTTGGGAACATTTTTTTATTCCATTTTTTGAATCCCACTACCACCTCCCTAGTTCAGATCCTTTTTACCTCCTATTTCTAGTAGCATACAAGCTTCCTGGACATTCTCTTCCAAATTAATTTCTTTGATAATTTTCCATTACATCACTGTCATTTCAATTTTCTTAAAGGACAAGTTTAATTACATCACTCCTTTATCCATAAACTTTTAATGGTTACCCCATGCCTACCAAATTATGTAGAGACTTCTTAATCTGAAATTTAAGATGGATGATAGCCATCCCCAAACTACCTTTCTGGCTGTCTCATTACGGTCCTATGCTCCAGGCAAAATGAAGGCACTCTGTTTCCTCAACACATTCTTTGCTTATCTTTCTGTTCCCTGAACACATTCATTGCTTCTCCTTCTTTCCTCTTTTTTTTTTGGTGAGGAAGATTGGTCCTGAGCTAACATCCATTGCCAATCCTCCTCTTTTTGCTTGAGAAAGATTGGCCCTGAGCTAACATCTGTGCCCATCTTCCTCTATTTTGTATGTGGGTCGCCACCACAGCATAGCTTAATGAGTGGTGTAGGTCCACACCTGGGATCCGAGCCTGCGAACCCCAGGCTGCCAAAGCAGAGTGCTCTGAACTTAACCAATATGCCACTGGGGTGACGCCCCTTCTTCCCTCTTTTTTATTTTCCTTTTTCCTTGAATGAATTCTACCCTTTAAAACTTTGTGGAAAAGCTGCCTATCCTTTAGGAACCAATTAAAAAATGTTATTTTTTCTATAAGTGACTTCTGACTTTCCTGAACAAAATACTCTCTTCTTTCTTCCCTAAAATTGTTATGGAATCCACTGTATACTATTTTGAATTTTAGTTACTTATGTGCTATGCTTTTATTCCTATTAGACTGAAAATAATTTGAAAGTAGAGATTTCATCTTACACAGTTTTTTACCCAATACTTTCACTAGCTGTTCTCATTTGATACCCAATTTCACTCTGTTCAATCATTTATTGAATACCTATTATTATCAGCCAAGGTCATACAACTAGTAAACAATAGAACTGGGCCTTGAACATAGCTCTAGTTCTTCTGGCTTTACTAACACTCTATAGAAGATGTCAAAAATATCTGTTGAATTTAACTGACTGGCTATATTACCATAATCACTTTTTAAGTAAGACATTATTAATGGAGTTTTAAATAATTAAAATTAATTGTCTAAGATACCCCTCTATGGGCCTGCCCCGTGGTGTAGCGGTTAAGTGCGCACACTCCACTGCTGGCAGCCCAGGTTTGGATCCCAGGTGCGCACTGATGCACTGCTTGTCAAGCCATGCTGTGGCAGCATCCCATATAAAGTGGAGGAAGATGGGCACAGATGTTAGCCCACGGCCAGTCTTCCTCAGCAAAAAGAGGACTGGCATGGATGTTAGCTCTGGGCTGATCTTCCTCACACACACAAAAAAGAATTAAGATACCCCTCTAAAATAATAAGATTGTCTTCTGTATTCCAATAGCAATTTGAATATATCAGTATTATTATTTATTGGAATATTTTGTGATTATTTCTTTACATCCTGTTTTCTTCCGACTGACTGTGGACATATTTGCATCTTTAGTACTTAGCACAACACCTGGCATATAATAAGTTGTCAATAATTTTACTGAACATCCAGGAAATTGAAAAGAATCTAAGTAATGGCATTTATTACAAGAGAATGCCTGAGAAATCAATTTAATGGAATGGAAGAAATCACCAATTGATCATTGATTGTCTTTTCTCTTTTTTTTTTTTTTTTTTTGAGGAGGACTAGCCCTGAGCTAACCGATGCCAATCCTCCCCATTTTTCTTGAGGAAAACTGGCCCTGAGCTAACATCCGTGCCCATCTTCCTCTACTTTATATGGAACGCTGCCACAGCATGGCTTGACAAGCGGTGCGTCAGCGTGCGCCCGGGATCCGAACCGGCGAACCCCGGGCCAAAGTGAAGCACGTGCACTTAACTGCTTGTGCCACTGGGCCAGCCCTGACTTTTCTATCTCTTACTCGATAAAGCTTTCCCTGTTGAAACTGATATATTGGCCTAGAAGTGATAGATTAAGCCATAGGAGTGGACACATCAATCAAAGAAAAAGAATGCAGAGGGAAAAACAGAGCTCTGGATATAGTACTCTAGAGAATATCCAACATAAGAGAACATGAAGTTTTCTACCAGCCCAGGTGATTTTAAACCAATACACACTAGTAGAAAATGGCATATCTGTTGAGTGTCTACCATGTGCCAGACACTGTGCTAGATGCTAAATAACGTAGCAAATGTATAATGTGAAGGTAGATAATCAAAAGCAGATGATAATATAGTGTGCTTTGGTAAATCAGTTCATTAACTACTTGGGTAATTCAACTGTAATTGAAACTATTCTGAGTCAGGTTCTGTCTAGCTTGTTCATATAAGACAGCATTAGAAATTTGATTTCGTTCATCATTGGGTTAAAAAATATGGTATCAGATTATTACCATATATATTTAATGAATTAATTAGGTTCTGATGGTACCTATTCTCAATCAAGGGTAAAATTAGGGAAAAACTAGATAAAACTAGCATTACCACTTTATTAATTAATCAAATAATTCTTTAGCATCTACTCTGTGCCACATAGGGGACTAAGCACTGGGAATACAGGGAATAATAAGTCACAATTCTTTGCAAGGTTCATGTAAACCTGATGGAAGAAGCCAGACATACAAGCAATGATGATATTAAGTATTTTTTTCAAAGACTGTCATGAAGTAGAATCTTGCATATAATTCTGGTTTCGGAGGCCAAGACCAGTATTTGTGTGTTCATCTTTGTTATAAAACCAAAAGCCCTCTGTACTTTAATGAATCATATTTGTATTTCACTGAGTCCACTAAAAGAAATCAATCCCATGAACTAATAACTATTCTAGTAATTGATTATACCAGTGAAAAATCTCTCATTCTTTCCTCCCCCACATCAACATTCTCTATTCTCAATGTGTCACGTTTCTGTCCTCAAGCCAGACTGTTCTTTAAACAAATATTTCAGCCCAGATTTTGTTCCTTCTGCCTGGAATGCCTCTCAACAAATTTACAGAAAAGGTATCTACTCCCCAAAAACCTATTTCATGCAAGTTTTCTCAATTTCTAAACAATGTGATATCACACTCTAATCTGTATGCTAATTATTTTTGCTGTTCTCTTTACCCACCCCCACCTTCTATTTCCCCTGAGCAGAGGCTACTTGAGGATATCAATCATTTTTCACTCATCTTGCTTGTCCCATAGGGTTTAGCACACAGAAAGTGCTGAGTAAATATTCACTGAACTTAAATGATCCAATTAAACTGACTGTGCTAAAAACAAAAATAATACTTTTGCATTGTTTCTGAAACTTAAAAACTCAAACATGTTAATGGAAGAGTAAATTAGTTTTATTGACTGATGAAAAACTAAAGTGATAAGAAACATGGATAGTAAACAATAATCATTAGTTCTGCTGGAATTCTATTTTTCTTCTTTTCACTTTAAGCCAAAAGGACATAAAATTATAGACTGTTAGTGAGCTAATTGTTTTTTAAGTTTCTTCAACAAAAACTGCATAGTTTAGCAGTTGCACAGCATTAAATATATACATTTTTGCAAAACCCTGAAAGTTTTAATTTTTGTGTTGACCTCAAAGGCTAATGGAATCACCTACACTGGTCGGATTCAGAGTTTCTTTTCCCTTTTCTGCCACCCTGTAAAGAAAAATAGGGCAAATTATTTAGGAAATATCAGTGGGGGAATTTCATTTTAAGACTATATGAGACCAAAGGCATTTTGGGTATGAGAAGGAAGCAATTTCTTTCTTGAGTTTGTTGCAAATTTGGATGTGCATACTACTAAATTATTTTCACTAATGTTTAAAACAGGTTGTAGAAAACAGTGATTTCTATTTGAATTAGTCTAGACTTAGAAGGATCACCAATATGTTATTTTTTAGAGCTCATCTGGACTGTCCCAGATTTCTAAAAAAATAAAATTTTTCGTCAATACTAAAATAAACAATTTGCTCTCTATGATCATTACTCTTTTGGGTAATTCAAGTTCTATCTAGTCTTGTTCATATTAGACAGCATTAGAAATCTGATTTTGTTCATCACTGGGTTGAAAAGTAGGTTATACTTTTCATATTGCTCAGTGACATATACACATCTGTATTTAATTTGCTCCAAATGAAACTCCATCTATGGTATTTGACTTGAGCCAAGGAAAGAGAAAGGCAGCTTAAAAGACAAGAAGTATTTTACATTCATTACTTTTAACATAACATTTTCTGCCTTATTCTGATTTAAAAAGCAAATATTCATTGTAGGAATAGGGAAAGTACAAATACAAAGAAGAAAATTAAAATCATCCATAACTACTCTACCCCCCATTTTAACCATAAATAATGGTTTGATGTATTTATCTTACAACAATTTTATAGTTTTTTCTTCATTTTTATAAACTGTGGCAATGGTACTCAAACTTAGTTGATCATTAGAAACCACTAAGTAGTAATATTTTTAAAATTCTGATGTCTAGACTTTGAACAAGACCTATTTATTTGCGATTACCAGGAGTAGGCTGAACAATCTGCAATTCAAAAGTTCTCAAGTAATTCTGATGATCAGCCAAGCTTGGGAACTATTTGTCCGTGGAAGCGCATTTCTTAAAGTGGTGGTTCTATCAGGGGCATGTGGGAGCCAGACCCATTTAATAATGTTGGCAGCTTCTCTTTGTTTCTTTCATCCTTTTCTGCCTGTAACTTCCCTCTTGGTGGTCAAAAACACTTTTTTTTTGGCTGAGGAAGATTTGCCCTGAGCTAACCTTCTAGAGCGATCTTCCTCTGTTGCCAATCTTCCTCTATTTTGTATGTGGGCTGCCGCCACATCGTGACTGCCGACAAGTGGTGTAGGTCTGTGCCCGGGGAACTGAACCCAGGCCGTCAAAGTGGAATGTGCACAACTTAACCACTAGGCCACAGGGCCAGCCCCCCAAAACATTTCTATATCAACTTTCTTTAAAAAAAATCAAGTGTGAGAATGCTGTTATTCACTCCTGACCAAAGAAAAGTTTTGCAAAGATTCATTCCGAGAAAAAAAGCATCAAGAGATTATATGGGACCTGAGATGTATAATGACATGTATTAAAAACAAGATTTATTTCCTGATAGCGGGAAAATTAAAATAAATTTACCAAAAAATTTTCTATGTTAGACAGAAACTATACATAGGTACCAATGTTACACAGCTTAAAACTCTTACCTTGCTTCCCAACAAGATTAAAAAAAAAAAAAAATTCAAAGATCCTTTTCAAAGCCTTCCAGGCAAAGGGAATTCTCCTTCCTGGACTGATGAGATGGGGCTAAACAACTTTTATATTCTCTAGGCCACCAGTAGCTTTCAAATTCTTTTGATTCTGACCCTACATTAATTAATGCATTTTATATCATGACTTAGACACACATGTGTACAAATATATGTGTGTGTGTGTGTATATACATATATCATATATTGAAACAAAGCACTGATATTTTTTCACTGCTTCATCCAGAAAATGCTGAATCCCAGCTTGTAAATGCAGAAGAAATGACAGAATTAGAAAAATCACTATTTTGCAACCACCAAAATAATAACTGACAAATATCATCAAGGGATGCTAAAACCATTGGGTAAAAAGAAAAGGATAATCACACAATCTCAAAGTATCACTCCACATACTATTTATTAATTACAAAGGGGAAAAGATATCTTTAGAATGAAGATATCTAGAAGATACTGCTGTACCCAAGTGATTAAACTTATTATATAGTGGGGCAAATGTCATTGTGTGCCTTCCCTCAATATGATTCAATGGCATGTATGTTATGTCATCTATGTGTACACCAAGAATTTTTCTGAATTACTAAGTTATTGCAGTATACACCAATATCTAGAATAACCTTAACACTTTCTAAAATGTAAATTATATGACCAATAACAACAAAATTATTAATGTTTGGTGAATAAATTTTGGCTTAAGAATAAAATACTGCATTTTTTCTCACATAGTACCTATTCCAGATGTATTATTTGTGATGAAAACACTTTTAAAATTATAAAAGCATACCTGATATTTGGCTAATTCTGCTTGTAATACTTTCACTTTAGATCTTTCTTGTTCTAATGCAGCATGAAGTGAAGTCACCTATAACAAAATATTCAATAAAAGAGGCTTTTTTTTTCTTTTTAGGCAAATACTCTTTATTCTGTGTGTGTGTGTGTGTGTGAGAGGAAGATTGGCCCTGCCCTAACATCTGTTGCCAATCTTCTTCTTTTTGCTTGAGGAAGACTGTCCTTGAGCTAACAGCTGTGCCAATCTTCCTCTATTTCATATGTGGGACGCCGCCACAGCATGGCTTGATGAGCAGTGTGTAGGTCTGCACCCAGGATCTGAACCCGTGAACTCTGGGCCGCCAAAGCAGAGCACACGAACTTAACCACCTGGCCACCAGGCTGGCCCCATACTGTTCATTCTTAACACTTATTCACAATGATGATTTTTGACTACTAGATGAATGAGCATCAGAGAAGGACCCCCCAACCCCTTTCCAATTAGGCATTTTACTCAGCTATATGTTAAAGATAGACAGGACAAGCTCACTGTTCTAAGAGAAGACCACAGAATGAGGGTGGGAAGGGTTGAGAAAATCAAGTACATGAAGAGGACAAATTCTAGCTGCCCTTTCTATCTCTATGTTAATAGCACATTGAGCTAAAATACAACCCCATCTTCCCCTATTCTTCAGGACATCCCTACCTCCTTTAGCATGGTAAATAGAATCTTCATTAATTTACTACTACATAATAATAATGAAGTATAATTTATATCACTTTCTCACAGTGTACTGATGGGCTGTATTTTTGTTTAGTCAAGTTTCATAATTCAGGACTAAAGAACAGCTTAAGACAACCAGTCCTGCACAGTTTTCCTTACCTGGATAGTTAGCTCATTCTTGATACTTTGTGATTCATCAACTTGCAGAAGTATTTCTGCTTTATCTTTCACTGACAAAAAAGGAAAAACAGCAGTATAATCTTTTCAATCACTCGAATACTTTAACAATGTTTTAGTGAACCAAGACAGCAGTGCAGTCAGGCAAAGATTAATTGTCCTCATACTTAATGAATGTATTTCTTGACCCTATGGCTCTTATTTTTCATTGGTAAATTCTAATCATTATTATCACCACAGCAGTTTTTTTTTAAATTTTACATTTTCTGTGGTGTTAAAATATTAATTGTACAAATATAATGCAAGATTAATTTTTTTCCATCTACACTAAAGAGGACAAGGACACAAGACAATTAAAAATTTGACATAGGGCAAAAACTTTAAATACCTTGACTAATCTTAAAGCAAAATTTTTAAAACAATATAGAGTGTTTTTGTTTGTTTTGTTAAATTGTCAGGGCGAACATACTATAAGGCCCACAAAAATTATTTTTATCTGACTTTACATACCAACAAAGCACTATCAAATAAATGTAGCTCATAAGATCATAACCGATCACATAACATCTGTGATCTCTCAGAACTATTCATTTGTCTAGAGGTTTGCCCTCTTTGGGGAAGCAAGAGATCTATATTTTGGCCCCTATGTTTCCTAAGCTTTAAAAATCTCTACAAGGCTGACAACTTCCTTAACCTATGGTAATGGCTAATTCATGAAAAACTAACTCCTCAACTTTGGAAACAAGCTAGGAGATACTGAAGAGGTAAAAATGAAATAAAATTAGTAAAGGAGGAAATGTTCAAATATATGACAGTACTGATACCACCACAGCTCTACCAATATAACATTGAAATTCAAATTTATTTTTCTTAGTTTAATATCATAGGCAATAAGGTGAGAAGAAACAAATCATAGTCTCTCAAGAATCAACTCGGGAACTTCTACAAATTATACTGTCTACTCTCCATCCCCAGAATTAAATACACTCACTGAGAACTGGTGATTTTTATTATTTTTTAAAATTTATTTATTTTTTTTTTTTTATAATTTTATTTATTTATTTTTTTTCCCCCAAAGCCCCAGTAGATAGTTGTATGTCATAGGTGCACATCCTTCTAGTTGTTGTATGTGGGACGCAGCCTCAGCATGGCCGGAGAAGCAGTGTGTCGGAACGCCCGGGATCCGAACCCGGGCCGCCAGCAGCGGAGTGTGCGCACTTAGCCGCTATGCCACGGGGCTGGCCCGAGAACTGGTGATTTTTAAGAATTACGTAATATTTCAATTACAGTCAGTTCTCCTATAATGCTTTTTTTGAAAATATGAATTTATTTCAATGAGTTTGATATATTAGAGAACAACTTAAACATAACACAAATTTTGCATTTGTTTAAGCACAATTTCATGAACACAGAAAACTGCACCCATGCACAAACCTCAAATATCTACCAGCTATCTCAGCTCATTGTGGGTTAAGAACTATACCAACTTTTCACCCTTCCATCACTTAACAGTAAGACACAAGCTGCAACCCTTCTGAAGCCTACTTCTACAAGCAAACTTCAGGTTGTCTTCAAGGTAAAGTGCCATATTTATTATAGTATTTATGTGTTTAACCATTTTAACATGTATAAAACTGTGTTACTGTTTTTACTAGGTTTCCATCTTTTTTTTAACGTGTCACTGACGAAATTTCTGAGTGTCATATGCTCCTAACTCCATTTTCCCCATGAACCTTGTGGTTTTAACTGTGTGATTTTGCAGATTGGTGATTTTTAGGAACACCTGTTACATTATAACAGAACTGACTGTATTTACATTTATATTAAAAATGCTTGAGTATGTGTACTCTAAGGTACTGTATTTTTCATGTTCTATATAGGACCATTAAAAAATGGTCCTATATAAAATTCTACTTGGATTATTTATGGTATGGAGTATGGACACTGATGTTAACTACCGGTAGTCATTTTTAATATATTTTTGAGAGTAAGTTTTGTTTTTTTTTTTGTGAGGAAGATCAGCCCTGAGCTAACATCCATGCTAATCCTCCTTTTTGCTGAGGAAGACCAGCTCTGAGTTAACATCTATTGCCAATCCTCCTCCTTTTTTTCCCCTAAAGCCCCAGTAGATAGTTGTATGTCATAGTTGCACATCCTTCTAGCTGCTGTATGTGGGACATGGCCTCAGCATGGCCAGAGAGGCAGTGCGTCAGTGCGCGCCCAGGATCCAAACCTGGGCCGCCAGTAGCGGAGCATGCGCACTTAACTGCTAAGCCACGGGGCCGGCCCGAGAGTAAGCTTTTATCAGTTAACTTTCTCACTTTTCACAAATGTTTCCTTAAGTAAGGAATATTACTTTATTTCTACATATTTAAAAATCACACATCCAATGTCCAATGGTATCCTTAATTTCTTCAACTGGAAATATATCTTGTAAACAATTATTTTATTTTCATAATTTTATCCATTAAATGATCCACATGGAACTCAGTAACATGCACAGATCTAAATTAATCTCAGGATGTTGATATCTAATTGTCCAAATAATGGCTTTCCCCATTATTCTTTAACTTCTATTTCATCATAGTTAAGCTGTATAATAGTTAAGTTATAGTTATATTATAAAAAAAGTAAAGTTCTAAAGTTTGAATCTACTTCAAAACTATATATTCTGTTCAATTGAACATGATTTCTGGTTTTTACTCATATTGTTTTTATAATTGTTATTTAATAATATACTTTAAATTTTTGCTGGACAATTCCACTCCCAGTATCTTCATATTTGAAACAATTTTTGGTATCTTGTTTACTTATTCTTCAAGGTGAGTTTCATAATTTCTTAAGTGCTATACAGTATTCACATGAGCTACATTTGGTATTTCATTAGCATTTATTAACAAGGAAAATTGTTTATTACACTTAATTTTGTTTATTTAGAAGAAGATTTTCTCATGTCTTTCTCTATATCTCTTATATGGTGTATATTCTTCTTTTGCAAAATTAATACACACTTCCTTTTCTCCACTGAATGAAAAATTTTCATAGAACTTTCAAGGTAAGTGTCACTAGGTATACATATTCAGGAATACAACTGATTTGGCAGGTTTTCATATAACATCAACTTTCCTAACCTTATTATTGCTAATCATTTTTGACTGATTTTCTTGGCTTCCTGCTAGTGACCTACTGCCAAAAGTTTAGAGTGGCAGCAAAAGTATGAAGAGTGGGGGAGGGGAGAAGGAAAATCTAAAATGATGATAGGCTTTCTCCTCTAATAATTAAAAAGCAGAATCTTAAGCAAATGTTATTCTTGTTTTCCCTCTAAATGTAGTCCAATAATTTTTAAGAATTGAAATTTCAAAGGTTTCTCTTACCTGAATAATTGTAAACTTGTGTAATACTAAGGTGCTGTAAGAGTGACTTGTAATAATAAAATTATCAGGAACAGTCCAGTTTGTTTCACTTTGGGAAACTTTTATTTTGTTGAGTTGATAAATCATATACCTTGAAAAATTATCTTCAAATTTTTTTAAGATTAACTTTTAATTCTAAAAACACACGAATCACTTACTTTCACCTTCCTGAAGCATTTTCAATAACTGTGCATTTCTTGCCTTTACTTCTTTATACTTTGCCTAATAGTCAAAGAAAAAAGATTTAATTTTTAAAAGGTAAATGATATAATTAATGATTTAATATCAATTTATGGAGCTATGAATTCTAGGCTTGCTCAAAGACATAAACTACTTCTGAAAGAAAGTGATTGAGGAAAAAGTATTCAGAACTGTCTACTGCTTAAATTAAATCCCTGGTACAATTAACAGAAATTAATATTATAGGTGATTGAAAAATAAAGAAGAGAGGGATAAAAGTGGAGAAAACTCAGGATAATACTAAGTTTTCCTGAAAAGTCTTTCTCTTTTCTTCCTCAAACAAAATCCTTATACAATTAAAAATTAGAAGAAAACAAAAAGAAAAATGATTCATAGTTCTGTACGAGGATTATCGAGTACTACACTAGAACTTTCTGTATCTGTTCTACATCTGCCACTGTCCAATATGTGGCTGCTAACTACTGGAAATGTGGCTAGTGTGACTGAGAAAATGAATTTTAAATTTGATTTAGTTTTATTTAATAAAAATTTTAATTTTATTTCATTTTTATTTATAAAAATTAAAAATGTTAATTTTATTTATTTAAAATCCATGTGGTGTATTAATTTTACACCACAGTTCTATATTTTCTCAGTTAAGACTTTACTAATCTCTTGTTATTTCATTAACTAAATATTGTTAAATTAATTTTTGGCTGACATGAATTAGTAATTTATTGAAATATCTTTCAATTCTTTTTCAATTTATTTTTCCAAGTGGCTTAGCTTCTTCTCAAACTACATAAATGACACAATTATACATTTATAAACAACAGGAATTGTGTTCCCACATTAACATCCATACATGGGGGAATTTTCCTCTTAAGCTACCCTTATTCAACATATCTTATAACACACTCTGAATTATTTATAAATATTTAATACATTAATACCTTAGAGAAAATACATTTAATAACTATAAAAAATAAAAGTTCAGAGAAAGAAAACAGATCAGTATAAGAAATTTGTCATTTCTTCTCTCAACATGTACATAGATAGGTACAGAAATTACCAGATTCAAAAATCTTTCTTGCAAAACTAATTTAATATATTTTAAATTAAGTCCAACAAAAATGCCTTTTACTAAATACTCTGTCCAGTAAATTGCTGAGGATAAATCAATAATGTTAGTGTGTAATAGTGCAGTAAATACACTGAACAGAAGTAGTAAAGCACCATAGTAAACATAAAGGGAGTAGGACTTTTGAGAAGCTTAGAAATGAACAAGGGAGATAAGTCAGAGGGAAACATAAAAATATTATGGGGAAAAATACATACAGTGAACTACAACCATATTTACTATGAATATAGAAATATATCTACTGTGAACATGAAACTGTATCCACTATGAAATTCTCACTCTCAGGGCTTCAATCAATATTAATATCTCACCAAACTCTATCCCTAGCTCAAGCCTTTTCTCCAAGGTCCATATCAGTGTACATGGAGGCACCCCTAATGCTAGCGTTTGGGGTCTAAAGTTAGTTCATAAAGCAAAAATTGCAATGAGCAAAATTAACTGTGAAAATTCTTTATATTGCCCATAAAAACAGCATAGTTTTGTATACACAATCCTGAATAGTAAATGTATCTACAAAAACTTAAATGTATAAAATGCTAGTACCATGCAATTTACAACAAAGAGTACAAATGAAATATACAGTGCACTTACTAGTATTTTTAATTTCATGAAAAAGAGAGCACTTAAAGTTAAATGCACATATGTTGTAACTCCACTGTGTCCAACTGCATCCTGAACATCTATGCCTGCATCCACAGCCATTTCAAACTCAACATGTCCAAAATGGGATCTCTTAGTTCCCATTCACCAATCCAGTTCAAAATGTGCTCTTCTTCTCACTCAATACCTGTTAATTGTGTTCTCACACTCAATACCTGTTAATTGTGTTATCAGACTATCTTCACTCCAGGCCTTAGCTACGTGCATTACCATCTCACAAAGTAATTCTCATGTCACTTCCCTTTTAAAAACCTTTACTGCCCTTTCTTTGTCTAAAATCCAAATGTCTTCAAATTCTGACCCCAACTAACATCTCCAAGCTCACCTTCTACAACTTCCTATTTCTCTAAATGTCAGCAACAACGTATATCTTACCATTTCCATGCCTTTGTATGCACTATTCTATTTAGTAAAACTATCTTTTTTGTGAAATCCTTACCAATTTTCAAAAGCAGCAACTGATTCATTCTGGTTTCTGTGCTTCTGGAGCACTCTGTCAAAACTCAATTATAAATTCTACATTGTACTGCAATTATTTACATGTTTATCTTCCTCATTAGACTATGAGCTTCTTGCTAACTCATCTTCATAGTCCCTGTGCCTAGCATAGGGTAAGTAAGTGCTCAACAAAAGCAAAGGAAAATATAAATGACAAAGAAAAAGCTAATGGGGATGGGTAAGTGCAGTCCAAAAAGGTTTTAGTAGGGATCATTCTTAAAGGCATGAGTAGAAGAGGAGGGAAATGTAAGAACCACCAGGGGCTGAAACTTATTTTTTTCACTATTACATACACAGGGCCCAGAAAAGTACCTGGCATATTACAAGCACTCAATAAACAATTGCTGAGTGAACAAATATTAGCCAAAAAAGAATGATACTTGAGATGATTAAGAGATTTTTTTAAAAGCTGAAGGAAGGAAGGAAGAGAGTAATAGGTAGGTTTGTGGTTAAAATAAATTGTATAAATAACAAGTGTTAGCAAGGATGTGGAGAAATTGGAAGCCTTGTGCATTGCTGGTGGAAATGTAAAATGGCATAACTGCTTTGGAAAACAGTTTGGTGGTTACTCAAAAAATTAAACATAGAATTACCTTATGATCCAGCAATTCCACTCTTAGGTATAATACCAAAAGAATTGAAAGCAGGGACTCAGATACTTGTACCCTAATGTTTATAGCAGCATTATACACAACAGCCAAAAGGTGAAAACAACACAAGTGTCCATCAACAGAAGAACAGATAAACAAAATGTGGTATAAACATACAATGGAATATTATTCAGCCATAAAAAGGAATGCAATTCTGATACATGCTAAAACACGGATGAACCTTGAAAACATTATGCTAAGTGAAATATGCCAGACACAGAAGGACAAATATCATATGATTCCACTTACATTAAGTACCTAGAATAGGCAAATTCATAGGGATTAGAGGTTACGAGGGGCTACAGGGGAAGGGGAAATAGGAAGTTTAATGGGTACAGAGTTTCTGTTCAGGATGAGGAAAATGTTATGGAAATAGTAATGATGGTTACACAACCTTGTGAAGGTACTTAATGCCACTGAATTGTACACTTCAAAATGGCAAATTTAATGTTATATGTTATATATATACACCAATGTTATACATATTTTACCAGATTATATATAATTAACGAAAGAGTTTAAAACCTAAATAGAAGAAATATTATTTCTATCAAATATTAAACATTTACACATAATAAAAACAGAAAATGTGCAAATTATAGAATTATTTTAGTTTACAGTAAATAAATACAAACCTCCCATTGAGTGATCACATTTTTTAGTTTCTGGATTTCAGCATCTTTCCTTTCAAGTTCCAACTTTAGTCTTTCAATTCTTCCATCTTTTAGAACTACTTCCTGAAGAAGGAAAACACTATTTTAGAACTAAGATAGTTCTGCCAATTCTGGTTTACAATATCCTTTGTGAAAAGTTTAAGAGGAAAAATCCTGATTTTAATTCATCTTCTAATTTTTATTTATTTATTTTTCCCCAAAAGCCCCAGTAGATAGTTGTATGTCATAGGTGCACATCCTTCTAGTTGCTGTATGTGGAACGCGGCCTCAGCATGGCCGGAGAAGCAGTGCATCGGTGCACGCCCGAGGGCCTGGGCCGCCAGTAGCAGAGCGCGCACACTTAACCACTAAGCCACGAGGCCAGCCCCTTAATTCATTTTCTAAAGCAACCTTCAACTGCTGACTACATTTCCACTTCTACTCAGTTATATAATTGTAATTATGTACAGTGCAAGCAAATAAGATATTTATGATTAATCTCAAACTACAAACGTAACCTAGAACAATATCAGGGCTTTGAAATGATATTTCTATCCTAGAATAAACTTATTAAAAGTGCTCTGTGACAAGTTGCTGTTATTAGTCTATCTTAAACACCCAAAAGAATTCAAAACTTAGGAGAAAAAACAAAAAATAAATAATAAATAGAAAAAGCAAAAATAAATATCTTTTCTCTTTATCAGCAATTAGCAGGTAGAAGATATAAGTAGAAAACCATTTCCTCCCAAGAGCAATAAAAAGTATCCCTAAGAATAAAATTCAGAAATTTTCAGGATCAACAAATTACAAAATATTGAAAAGGACACAGAACAAAGTATGTTTGTAGATGGGAAGACTAAATATTACTTTGTAAATTCAATAAAATTTCTTTTTTTTTTTTTTATAATTTTTTTTTTTATTTTTTTCCCCCCAAAGCCCCAGTAGATAGTTGCATGTCATAGCTGCACATCCTTCTAGTTGCTGTATGTGGGACGCGCCCTCAGCATGGCCGGAGAAGCGGTGCGTCGGTGCAGGCCCGGGATCCGAACCCGGGCCGCCAGCAGTGGAGCGCATGCACTTAACCGCTAAACCATGGGGCCGGCCCTCAATAAAATTTCAATTGAAATTCCAATAGGATTTTGTTCTTTGGAACTTAGCAAGATAGATAAAACTTCATCTGGGAGAATATAGGATAGAAGCAAATAAAGAGTTAATGCAGAAGAATTTGCCTACCAAATCATTGTACTGTATATACTATATATATACACACACATATATAGTATATATACAGACTACACAGCAAAAATAATTAAAATAGCATGGTCACGGTACCAAGGGTAACAGAACAATGTACTAGAAAAGAAAGTCCAGAAAGAGATTTAAGATATAAGAATCATAATATAAATACGATATTTTAAAGAAGTGAGAAAGGCTAAGTTACAGAATAATGGTAGATTACAGGACAAATGGCTAACTGGGAAAAATCAAATTAAATCCCTACCATCTTGCACCATATACAAAATAAATAAATTTAAATGCAAAAAATCAACCCAAAGTCATACTTTTGATAAAGAGTATAAATTGGTTCTATTTATCTAATGAGTAATGTGACAATATTAACTTATTCCAAAATACTCACTGAGCACCTAACTGCTAGGTGCTGGGTGTACAATGGTGAACAGAACTGAAGAGATTCTTGCTTTCATGGGACTTATCTAGGGAAGGAGGCAGGCGTTACATAAAGAAATGCTGCAATTAGAAACCAAGGTTTAAGCAATGAAGAAAAGAAACATAGTGCTCTAAAGGGAATAAGGTGGACTATTCTCTTACAGATAAAGGAAGCTCTCTCTGAGGTAGTGACACTTCAGATGAATCCTTAGTGAGGGGTGGGAATTGGCTAAGTAAAAAGTGGAGGTATGAGCTTTTCAGGTAGAAAGAACAGGATGTTTAAAGGCCTGAGGCAGGAAAGAGCCTAGAGAATTTGAAGGAAAAAGAGGCAACTGTGGTTGGAGCTTAGTGAAGGAGAAGGCAGTATAAGATGATTTTGGAAAAATGGGCAGAGGCCTGATCTTAGAGGGCCTTGTAGGCCCAATAATGGTCTGCATATTATTCTGAGTAAAATCTGAAGTAGTGAAGGATTTTGAGCAGGACTATTACATTTATATTTATGTTAGATTTATGTTTTTAAAGGGTCACTTTGGCTGCTGCATGGAAAATGACAGGTGGAAAGACCCCTTAATTGCTACTGCAAGCCCAGGTGAGAGGAGATTAAGCCTTGGATTAGGGTGGAAGCAGTTTGAATGGAGAGAAGCGTATCACATAAGAAATTATTTGAAGGCAGAATCAATAGCATTTGATGAGAAGTTGAATGTGCCAGGTGAGGAAGATGGACATTTCAATCTAAGTTTCTAGTTTAAGGAATAAAGTTGGTGGATCAAAATTAGAAATACATAGGAGAGTCTGGAAGATGACAGCATAGGAGGATCCTGAACTCAGCTCCCCATGGACACAACAAACCTACAACTACCTGTGGAACAATTTCCTCTCAGAGAGATCCGGAAACTGGATAAAAAGAACCCCCACAACAAGAGACAACACTGGCAGGGGTAGAAGAGGCAGAAATACAGCCCCACTGAGGGAAGAAAAACCACACCCTAGCCACAGCACTTCAAAGCCAGGAGCAATCTCAAAGGTATGGAGCTTTTCCCAGAGGAGCGGGGAATCTGAGCTCCAAGTTAGGCAGGCCTGCCCTCAGATTAAGCACAACTGAGATGAGATCCCACAACACCTGGCTTTGAAAACCAATGAGGAATATGCTCAGGAAAACGACAGATCTTCAGAGAAAGAAAAACCTGCTCTCAAAGGCCCCATGCACAGACTCACCCAATTCAGAAACCACCACAAAAATACCACATAGAAAAGTGCATATAAAAGAGACTCACTTTCTAAGCTCAAAGCATATTTCGGAGATGCAGGAAGCAGCTGGGCCCATCCCCCCAGGGACTAAGACACCGGCAGCAGCCATTATTGTGACCTAATTCAGTCTCTGGCAGCCGCCATTGGATTCCTTCTTCTAGTCTGTTAGCACAGAAGTCTGCCCTGCACACTAGAGCACCCAAGGCAACTGAGCGCAGCCAGGGCAGGCATCTCCCCCCGGGGACTGGCCCTACCCACCAGTAAGGCCACAAACTTGTGGGCCCATGTAGGCAGGGCATGTGGACCCACAGCCAATTTGTGCCACTGGCCATCACAAACAGCCACATGGGATCTGCCCTGCCTTCCAATGCCTGAACCCGGCTCCACCCATCTGCACTCGTGAGGCAGCTGTGTACCACAGGGCAGCATAGCCAGATATGGCCAGAGGCCTTCCCTGCCCAAAAGAGAGCTGACAACAGCTGCAGGGAGCCACACCAGAGGCCTGCAGCAATTGTGAGCCCCTGAGACTAGCAACCAGCCACACTGGGGGCCTGACTCACTTAACAGGAAAACAGCAGCAGTTATGTGCTATTAAACCTCGCAGCCAGCCGTGCCAGGGCTTGCCCCACCCAATAAAGTGACCATAGCAGCCGCACATGGCTGAGACTTACAACCAGCTGGCCTGGGGGCCAGCTGGGACTACCCATGCACCCATAGCAACCCTGCTACAACAGAAGGGCCACACAGTCTACACAAGGGATACTCCTGGAGCATGTGGCACAGGGAGGGGAGCAGGTTGCTGGGCCCCATTAAGACATCTCTTACATAAGGCCACATTTCCAAGATTAGGAGATATAGCTGACTTACCTAATACATAGAAATAAGCACAGACAAGTAGGCAAAATGAGGAGAAAAAGGAATATGTTCCAAATAAGCAATAGGACAAATCCTCAGAAAAAGAACTAAATGCGACAGAGATAAATAATCTACCTGATAAAGAGCACAAACTAATAGTCATAAGGATGCTCACTGATCTTTGGAGAAAAATAGATGAATACAGTGAGAACTTCAACAAAGACTTAGAAAATATAAAAAAGAACCAAACAGAGCTGAAGAATACAATAATGGAAATGAAAAATTCACTAGAGGTAATCAACAGCAGAGCAGACAACACAGAAGAAGGGATCAGCAATCTGGACGAAAGACTAGAGGAAATCACCCAAGCTGAACAGAAAAAAGAAAAAAAAATGAGAATAGTCTAAGGGAGCTCTGGGACAACATCAAGCCTACTAACATCCACAGTATAGGTGTGCCAAAAGGAAAAGAGAGAGACAGAGGGACAGAGAACTTACCTGATGAAATAATAGCTGAAAAATTCCCTAACCTGAGGAAGAAAACAGACATCCAAGGAAGCACAAAGAACACCAAATAAGATGAACCCAAAGAGGCCCACACCAAGAAACGTTATAATTAAAATGTCAAGAATTAAAGATAAAGGGAGAATTCTAAAAGCTGCAAGAGAAAGGCAACATGTTACATACAAAGGAAACCCTTCTCGGCAGAAACTTTACAGGCTAGAAAAGAGTGGCACGATATATTCAAAGTACTGAAAAGAAAAAACCTACAGCCAAGAATACTCTACCTGGCAAGGTTATCACTCAGAATGGAAGGTGAGTTAAAGAGTCTTCCAGAAAAACAATAACTAAAGGAGTTCATCACCACTAAACCAGCTTTAAAAGAAATGCTAAAGGGACTTATTTAAGGGGGGAAGAGAACGCCACAAATAGCAATAAGAAAATTATCAAAAAAAATATCAACGGTAAAGGCAAATATGCAGTAAGGTAGTGGATCAACCACCTATAAAGCTAGTATGAAGGTTAAAAGACAAAAGTACTAAAATTATCTATTTACATGATAAGAGGTTAAGGGATACACAAAAATAAAAGAGGTAAAATACGATACCAAAAACAAAACATAAGGGGGAAGTAAAAGTGTAGGGCTTTTAGTAAGAGTTCAAACTAGAGAGACCATCAACTTAATATAGATTACTATTTACATAAGTTATTATATATGAACCTCATTGTAATCACCAACCAAAAACTTATAGTAAATACACAAAAAATAAAGAGAAAGGAACTCAAACATAACACTATAGAAAGCCATCAAAT